ATACTGTTTTTGTTATACTTTTAATGTCTGTGGATTATAAATAATGTCATCTCTGTCATCCCTGATGTTGAAAATTTATGTCTTTTTTGGGCTAAAAACCAAAGGTTATCAATTTTATTAGCTAATGGTTTATCAACCTGACTGAAGAGTTGTCATTTTATTGCTCTCAAAGAAACAGCTTTTGATACCATTGATTTTTCTGTTTGATTGATTTCAACTCTGATATAATGTAATTGTTTCCCCTTTTCTGCTTAATTTGGGCCTAATTTGCTTAAGGTGGAAGCAAAATTCACTGATTTGAGATCTTTTTTGCTGATATAGATGTTTTATGTTATACAGCTTCCCCAAATACTACTTTAGCATCTTTCTATACATTTTTATATTGCCATATTCTTTCACTACAGAATACATTCTAATTTCTTTTGATTCATTTTCTAATCAGTGGGTTGTGTAGAATTGTGCTAATTAGTTTAGAATTATTTGTGGTTTATTCCACAGATATTTCTGTTGTTAGTTTCTGATTTAATTCCATTGTGGTCAGTCAGGTAACATACTTTTTTTATATGAACTGAGTTCTTTTAAGTTTGTGGAGACTTGTTTTCTAACCCAGAAATTAATCTATTTCAATAAATGTTCATTGTGAACTTAAGAAGAAAAATGAGTATTCTCCTGTTATAGGTTGGAATATTCTAGAAATGTCAATTAAGTCAACTTGGTCGATAGTGTTGTTCAACACTTACTGATTTTCTGTCTGCTTATTCTATCTGATTTCAAAGAGAGATATTAAATCTTTGACTCTAGTTTTAAATTTGTCTATTTCTCCATGTGAGTCCATCTATTTTGTCTTACGTATTTTGAAGCTTTTGATTTTCTGTCTGCTTATTCTGTGTTTTCAAAGAGAGATATTCAATCTTTGATTCTAGTTGTGAATTTGTTTATTTCTCCTTACAAGTCTATCTATTTTGGCTTATGTGTTTTGAAGCTTTTTTTTTATATTGCAAGTATATTTTATTGATCATGCTGTTACAATTCTCCCATGTTTTCTCTCCTTTGTTCCCCTCTGCCCTGCACTGCCCTCCCACTATCATTCTCCATCCTTAGTTCATGTCGATGGGTCTTACATATAAATTCTTCAGCTTCTCCATTTCTTATACTGTTCTTAACTTCCCTCTCTGTTGATTTCATACCTACAAACTATGCTTCTTATTCCCTGTGCCTTTCCCACCATTCTCTTCCCTCCCACTCTCCGCCGATAACACTCCATGTGATCTTCATTTCTGTGATTCTGTTCCTGTTCTAGTTGTTTGCTTAGTCTGTTTTTTGTTTTTGTTTTTTAGGTTCAGTTGTTGTTTAGTCGTGAGTTTGTTGTCATTTTACTGTTCATAGTTTTTATCTTGTTCTTATTCTTAGGTAAGTCCTTTTAACATTTCATATAATAAGGGCTTGATGATGATGAACTCCTTTAACTTGATCTTATCTGGGAAGTACTTTATCTGCCCTCCCATTCTAAAGGGTAGTTTTGCTGGATAGAGTAATCTTGGATGTAGGTCCTTGCCTTTCATGACTTCAAATGCTTCCTTCCAGCCCCTCTTTGCTTGTAAGGTTTATTCCGAGAAACCAGCTGATAGTCTTATGGGAACTCCTTTGTAGGTAACTGTGTCCTTTTTTCTTGCTGCTTTTTAAGATTCTCTTCTTATCTTTAATTTTGGGTAATTTAATTATGATGTTTCTGGTGTGTCTTCCTTGGGTCCAGTTTCTTTGGGACTCTCTGAGCTTTCTGGACTTCCTGGAAGTCTGTTTCCTTTGTCAGATTTGGGAAGTTCTTCATTATTTTTTCAAATAAGTTTTCAATTTCTTCATTTTCCTTTTGTCCTTCCGACACCCCTATGATTCAGATGTTGGAACATTTAAAGTTGTCCTGAAAGGTTTAATCTCCAAAATGTACAAAGAACTTACACGACTCCACTCTAAGAAGACACCCAACCCAATTAAAAAATAGGAAAAGGACTTGAACAAACACTTCTCCAAGGAGGACATACAGAACATTCAGAGACACATGAAGAGATGCTCAATATCGTTAGCTATCAGGGAGATGCAAATTAAAACCACAATGAGATACCACTTTACACCAATGAGGATGACTATCATAAACAAAGCAACAAACAACAAATGTTGGAGAGGTTGTGGGGAAAAGGGGTCCTTAGTCCACTGTTGGTGGGATTGCAGACTGGTACAACCATTATGGAAAACAGTCTGGAATTTTCTCAGAAAAATAAAAATCGACCTGCCTTTTGACCCAGCAATTCCACTGCTGGGATTATACCCCAAGAATCCTAAAACATCAATATCAAAGAACCTATGCACCACAATGTTCATAGCAGCACAATTTACAATAGCCAAGAGTTGGAAGCAACCTAGGTGCCCATCAGTAAATGAATGGATCAAAAAATTGTGGTACATATACACAATGGAATTTTATGCTGCAGAGAGAAAGAAGGAGCTACTACCTTTTGCAACAACATGGATGGAACTGGAAAGCATTATGCTGAGTGAGATAGGCCAGGTGCTGAAAGACAAATACCATATGATCTCACCTTTAACAGGAAGCTAAACAACAAAACAAACAAGCAAGCAGAAAAAAAAAAACAAAGACACTGAAATAGAGAACAAGGGGATAGTGACCAGAGGGGAGAAGGAAGGGAAGTTAAGGGGAAAAAGAGGGAGGGATTTGGAGGAACAAATAGGAAGGACACAGGGACGAGAACTAAGGGGGTTGGAAATGGGAGGGAGGTGGGGAGCAAGGGGCGGGGGAGGCTGGGATGGGAAAAATAGACAAAAAACTGTACTTGAAAAATAACTAAATAAAATTAATAAAAAAATAAATAAAGTTGTCCTGGAGGTTCCTAAGCATCTCCTCAAGTTTTTGAATTCTTGTTCCTTTATTCTGTTCTAGCTGAATGTTTATTTCTTCCTTTTGCTCCAAACTATTGATTTGAGCCCTGGTTTTTCCCTTCACTGTTGGTTCCTTGTGCATTTTCCTTTATTTAACTTTTCATAGCCTTCGTTTTTTTCTCTATTTTGCATCCATACTCAACCATTTCTGTGAGCATCCCAATTACCAGTGTTTTGAACTCTGCGTCTGATAGGTTGGTTATCTCCTCACCACTTAGTTCTTTTTCTGGGAATTTGATTTGTTCTTTTGTTTGAGCCATATTTCATTGTCTCAGCACACCTATTACATTGTAAGGGGCAGAGCCTTAGGTATTCACCAGGGTAGGGTAACCTACTTTGCTGTGTTATGGCACTATATGTGGGGGAGGGGTCTGAGAAGGAGCATTGCTGCTCCCTTGGCTCTCCCCTGCTTTCAGTCATTTCTCCCGCTGCCCACAAACAAATGGCACCCTTCTGGTGCTGATTCCCAGGTGGGTGGGCTTGTGTATGTTCTAGGATCCTGTGGGTCTCTATAATGAACACTCTTGTGAGGTTGGGAGTTTCTGCCACTGCTGCAACCCACACAGGTTTTTTGCAGCCAGAGGTTAAGAGGCTTTAGTTTCCCGTGTTGGAACCCTGGGTTGTGCTGTCTTGCTCCCCAGTCATCCCTCCCAGCTTATTCACATGCAAATGTGGGGCTGCCCAGTCCACCAGCCCCTGCCTTGCCCAGCCCAGTCTGTTGCCTGTCCCTGTCCCTCCAACCAGTCCAAATGAATGTTTCTTCTTTAACTCCTTGGTTGTTGGACTTCCACACAGCTCAGTTTTCTGGCAGTTCTGCTTACTTTTGTTTTTAAATTTGTTGTTGTCCTGCTTTTGGTTGTACAAAGAAGGAAAGCATGTCTACCTATGCCTCCATCTTTGCTGGAAGTTCTGAAGCTTTTTTATTAATTAGGTGGGAAAATGTGTAGGATTGCTATGTCTTCCTGGTGAGCTAAACCCTTTGTCATTCAAATATTTTTTGCTCTAAAAGTTCCTTTGTCTGACATTAATGTGAGTAAACTTTCTTTTGATTAGTGTTGGTGTGGTGTATGTTATTCTATTCTTGTATTTTAATGTATTTCTATCTTGTGCATTTCTTGTAAGCATCACATTGTTGGATCTTGCTTTTTTTTTATCCAGTCTGACAATCTCTGTCTTTTAATTGGGGATATTTGGGCTATTTATATTTAATTCATTTACTGATATGGTTAGGTTTAAGTCTACAGTATTGCTACTTTCTATTTATTCCACCTGTTAAGTATTCCTTTCTCCATTTTTTTTTTGCCTTTTTAAAATTGTTAGAGTGTTTTGTGATTTCTTTTAATCTCATTTCTTGGCTTATTAACCATAACTTTTTTTATTTTGCTATTTAAGACGTTGCTTTAGAGTTACTAGTATGCATATTTACATGGCCTATTGTAGATGATCAAAAAATATTTATCGAATGAACAAATGCACACCCTAGAGCCTAAGCCAGAGGGCTGCTGAGAGGCATCATGACTGGCCCTTAGTACTGTGCTGTCAAAGTTCATTCCTTCCCAGCTCTTATTTTTCTCTTTTACATCATGTTACTGTGGATATTAGCTTTAATCTTTCTGTCTTAATGTTAGTCTCTGAAGGTTAGGGGTCTGTCTTCCTTCCCCTCCTGCCCTCCCTTAACATTTTAACAAATAGATACTTTTTCTTAGATGGTAATTCCTACAGGGTCTTTTTGAAAGTGTATGAGTGAAAGAGGGTTGACCTTGACGTATCATGGCTAACCCCCCCCCCAAAGTAATGTATTTATTAGGAAGAACAAATATTTTTAAAGGTAATAAATAAGAAAAAAACCTGAAAAGAAATGGTCTAAATTTAAGATGAGCAGATCTAAGCAAAACTACACGTGGAAAGAAAATTCAGAGCTCATTTTTGCCGTTCTTAAAATGCTACCACTTATTTCAAGGCTGGTAAATATATACAAGTATATAATTACTGTGCTTGCTGATTAAAAAAATGAAAAATTTATGCTCTCTCTTTTTTTTCTTTTCCAGCAAGTAACTGGCAGGAGCTTCGGTGATAAAGATTTTCGGACAGGGTTAGAAAATGGAATCCTTCTCTGCGAGTAAGTATAGCCTGTATCCAGTTGGATTTTATTCAGTAAGAATTATCAGTGCTATTCAGGTTGCATGTAAAACTTCCAGTGTTTTGTTTTGAATTTAATCAGTTTGAATCTGAAATTTAAAAAAACCCACTAGGCTAAGCAGTAAATGTAAATAAATAGGTGAGGGGTCAGTGGTCAGTAGGGCGTGGTGGCCTTGTGGCGGTTTTGGACTAGATAAAGGAACATCTGGTCCCTGCTACTCAGCTCCAACCCACTTTCACTAGGTAAGAATTCGGGCCCAGGTAATTGGAAGGATGTGGATGGAACTGTGATAAAAGTAGCAGCTTTTCCCCCTTGTCCACCCTACCCCCACCCCAACAAAAGCAGCTCGTGCCAAGTGCAAACAGTGCTTCTATTTACTGACAAGCATGCCAGGCAGTGTCCCCCACTGGGCCTGCTTCCCTGAACCAGTTTTCTTATGCTTCATTTGTGCTGTTGGCAGAGTTCAAGTATGAATCATAACTGCAGAGTTTAATTTGCATGTTTTGAGCCTGGGCTTTGTCATAGAGTGCTGCTGGGATGATGGATTCAAGAACTTTCTGTGAAGTAGTTCTGGACACACACTAGAACCTTAAGACATACAGGAGGGGAGATGCAAACTTCAAGATTTCAAAATGTGAATCTTTTTAATAGGTTCTGTAATCTCGGTACTGATTTATATTTTATTGAAGTGAAATGTATCTACATAAAATGCACAATTTACAGTCTGATGTACTTTCAAAAAGGTGTGCTTGACTGTAACCTACACCCTGATCAAGATACAGAACAGAAAGTTCCCCCAGGTCCTTTCCCAGTCGATCTCAACCACCTGTAGAAAGCACTGTTCTGATTTCTGTCATCACATCTATTTTATCTTTTCTCGAACTTTATGTAACTGGAATCACATAGAACGCGCTCTAATTTTAGTGACTTGCAGATGTTGTTTGGGACCCACTCACCAATGTAGCTGAAAGAACATGGGTTTTGGAGCTTGAGAACTAAATAGTCAGGTCCCTCCTTCACCCTTAAGTAAGTTCATTTCCTCAAGTCTCTATTTCCCTTCTGTAAAATGATAATAAAAACTTTATACCTATTGCCTTTTCCACAAACTTTTTTGTGAATTTCAGCAGGATCCTGTGGATAAAGTGTCCTAAAAATTGCATTTGTATACAGATGTTGATTATTATGCAGCATCTTTCAACACATTTCATGTCAGCATCCTTTCCCCTCTGCTCCCTACTGCTCTTCTGTCTTCAAAGAGAAACTTACACCCCTGTTAGCTGATTCCATGCCTTCCTTCCTATGAAGTCTTCTCGTACTTATGTCCCTGTGTGTATGGGGGGGCTCTGCCCCCCAGCTGCCACAGATGAGAATAAGTCTACCAAGACATGATCTACCTGGGGATGAAAGGTGGCCAATCTCTTAAAGGAGAAGGGCCAAGAGCCTTTTCATCAATGGGCTTTTATTGGGTTCGTTTTGCACAGGAATACAGGTAAAGCTCATTAATCATTGTCAGGCAGTAAGTATCAAACAATAGATAACAAAGAACTCTGAGGGCCTATTTTGAGTCAGGGTCAGATAGCTAAAGAGGTATAAAACTTTGAGGAACAAACTCACTTCTTGCTTGGACCCTTATTTAATTGAGAACATTCTAAACGAACCAGGTTTCACAGGATTTTACATATTCTTTCTTAGGCCAAATCACCTGGGGAACCCACCCATTTCAGCACAGGGCATTACCCACCACCAGCATTGTTTCAGGCTAAGTCAGGCAGCCAAGAGATTAGGAGACAGAATGAGGACTCAGGCTATGTCATACCTGAGGGGTAGGGGTCCGTCACCTTCTTTTGCGGTAGCCCCCCATGTCCTTCCCTGGGGCCTCCACATGATTGTGCCTGTCTTAGGTCGTTCCCCCTTGGGGAATCTTACCCGTCATTGCCTAACCGATCAAGAATTAGAGGCCAGTTATGGATGAAGTAAAAGGAGCAGAAGTGGCCCTCTACCAGGGAGATAAGCTTTGTCTCCTTAGTGGCTACTATCCGAAGGTTGCTCATTCAGCCTTAGCCATGAAGGGGTTACAGCTCCTGAAACCTGGCAGGGAGGTTCCCAATATGTCCCTCACCAGATTTTTTCTCTTTATTAAAGCTAAGTCAGAGCTCATCTCATAGGTGAACCATAACTGGTTTAGCATTTCACCAGAGACAAGCCTAGACAGACCCCTAACTCTTCCTTTGGATTCTAGCACCTGTTTCTTGAATGATTCTGGGCTTAGTCCTCTCCCGGTGAATAGACTAGCCAGAATATGATCTAACTTATGTCCCTAATGCTTTCTTTCTTAATCTTTGGAAGTGGGACTTGGATATCAATTTTTGTTTACCTAACATTTGTTCCAAAGATTCTTATAGGCCTCCGCTTCTCCACTACATCCCCATGAATAAATCCATCGGGGGCAATGCCTGACTTTGGATTCAGCAGGCTCAGAATCTAAATCTAAAGGCTCTTGATCTAAAGACATTTGCACACACAGGATTTGATTTTTACCTAAATTGAGATGTTGAGTTAGAGGGTGGATTTCTCTTATGTGTGCAATACCACTATCTATTGGCCTTTTGCAAACACATTAATGAGTGTTAGAGCTACATCAGGGTGGAGAGATAGGGTTCAAGTCCAGGCCATGGTGAGGAAATAGTTTGGTTAGACAATGTGGAGGCAGAGATCTCTTTAAATAAGTAAAGGTCTTGGATAACAAACAGCCAGGTGTTGAAACTGAAAGACTGGCCAATACAGGACATGGGCACGTGTTACTGTCCGGATGGGCAGGATACAAACCGAAGATGCATTAGTTATTGTCTAAGTCCCACCAAGCAACAAGGTGCAGAGACATGACCCAGCAGCTCCATGCATGGGGGGAGATTTCTGCTCTCCTTTTTGGTCAGGGCATGGCTAGGTTTGATCTGAGCCTGTTGGGCTGCTGCAGATGGACGTTAGCAGGTACATTTTTTGGGACTTGTCTCCAGAGACCAGGCTGGCCAGGTGGGGGCCTTGCACTGTTCCAGGTGTGTGGTTGGCTGATGGTGAGGGCCGAACAGCAGGAAATTCAGCTTGGAGGGTCTTGGGAAAGGAAGGGTTGCCAGACAATGGATCCATGCAGGTTTTAAACACCTGTCTTTGGAAAGCAGAGTACACTTGAGACCTATATAATTTTGTTAGCCAATGTCAGTTGCCCCAATAAATTCAGTAAAAAAATTTTTTAAAGTGCTTAAGGCTGTGCCACTGTTTAGAACCAGGAGAGTTTCGTGAATGCTGGTGGTTTAGGAGTTCTAACTCCTTAATCACCACTCCTGTAGCCACATTTGAAAATACAGGACTCCAGCTGAAAACTATTCTTCCTTTTGTTCAACAAACTCTCATTTCCTTGTCTGGGTTGGATCAGGCTCTAACTGTTGGTTGCATCTGTGGAGGGACACCATATTCTTTGTCCACTAAAAATTTCCTAAGTTTTTGTATGAGTCTGGAATTTTAAACTTATAGTTCTTGTCAAACTAAAGGGCATCATCTGGGGCTAGGCCTGATTTTCTTTTTACCAGCCTGGTTCTACAGCCACCTGCAGCCTGTGAGGACTATTACCATACCCATTGTACAGTGGGAGTAGCTGAGGCACGGAGGGTTGCCTCACTTGGCTAATGTTATACTAGTAAGAAAGATTTAAATGCAGAAGTCTGATTTCTTAGCTTTTGCTCTCTTCCACTGCCCTGTGTCTAGAGGTGGGATTGCAATGGGAAAGAAAAACAAGAGGTTGGAAGGTCGTGTTGGGATGGAACTGGTGCCAGAAAACCGAGAGTGTGGGGAGAAGGGCAGTATGGAGGATAACCGCTGGGGGCTCACTGGATTGGCGGTCTTGGCAAATGTAAGCATCAAGGGCCTGGCTGTCCTTCTTAAGATAAGAAGGCGAGTACAGTAAGAGAGAGGGCATGAGAGGACAGGGAGCTGTGGTCAGTGGGTGATGTAGATTTCAGTGTGCTGAGGCGGAGCTGTCAAAACTAGATGGAGACAATGAGAGCCGTGGGTCTGGACTAAAAATAAAAACTACCGTGGCAGAGAGAAAAGACTGGCACCTACAGGCAGCTCAGCAGATGGAAATCGCCCTGGGAGCTCTTTTCGTTTGCCTGCAAAGTGCAGTGCACACAGTTTCTTACAGGCACATGGCTTTGCATATGCACCCCGTGTAAACAGTGACACTTATGCATAAGTGCATAACTTACAGTAATAGCAAGCATAAAAAAGAGAGTGCATATGCCAGCTAGAATCGTAGTGGATGTGTTTTTGCTATAATCATCTCTCTGGCTCTGTCACTTTTGCAAGTGTGTATAGTTGAAGTTTGGGAAGTTAATGTGCAAATGACTGAGCTCTCCACTGAGCATTGGAGATCTGGGGTCAGCATGTCACAAAGCTGCAAACGTGTGACAATTGTCATGCTGTTAGAAATGTTAATTGAATATTGCATTGTGTCCTTGAGGACGTTGGGGTTCAAAAGGAAGGCTGCCAACAAAAACCATTCCCCAGCCTGAACAACAATAAAAAAATTAAAAAATAAAAATAAGAAGAATTAAAGAACATTAAAAAAAAAAGAACCGGTTCCCTAAGGAAGCCCTTCCCTGTACAGAGTCCCGGTGAGGGTCATCCACTTCCCTGCACCCGGGTCAGACTGTTTTGAAATCTTTCCAGAAAGGAAAGTTCCTGTCTTGTTTTCCTGACTGTGGCTTTATTATTCAGACAGAACTCTATGAAATTCCATCTGTATCAGGGGCTGGCAAATCCTGACCCTTAGTTTTTTTTCGTATTGGCCTTCCTTCTTGCAAAGAATGGCTTTTCTATTTTTAAAGGGCTGAAAATAAAATAGAACCAGAGTTTGTGTGTGGGTCTTCAAGACTCTTTACTATCTAGTCTTTTACAGAAAAAGTTGGCCAGCCCGTAAGTACCAT